TTTCAATTATGAAAAGCAAGTACCACGTTTAAAAAAAAGTAAAACCCCGTTTTTATGGAGTAAGGTCAGAAAAAACTGTAAATTTCTTTTGGATCAAAATCAAAATAAAAAAACTATTAAATGTATTTCGCCTTTTTAATGTCTTATGCCTTTCTTTTGAGTATCACCTATCACAGTATGAAATTGGTACGTTTATTGTTAATACGTAAATTGCTATTAAAATTACTATTAATTAGTAAATAGTATAAAATGCCATCGCGTATATTGAGCCCACTTCGCGGGTACCTCTCGCTGGGAACTTGTTTACGGGTCCGCGACGAATGAGGCGAGCGCCAAACCGCTCTGAAGGTCACTCGTTGGCACTGTTCTTTTCACTTCCCACCACAAGAGTCCATCTACCCGCGATAACTCCCCTCTAATCAGCTCGGAGCCCAGGCATGAGCCAGCATTAGCGCTCGGTCTCTTGTGCGGCCAGTTGGACAGGTCAGTTCTCTACGCTGTAAGGTTTGCGAGATCGCGAAACAGGCAGAGGAGGCAGCAGGTACCATCTTCGAAGAGCTCCGGCATCGCGCCGCGAAAAACTACACACTTCAGCACATACTCTCCCGCAATAATTGAAAAGGCTAAGCAATATTATACTAGAACTAGCAATGGCGTTCCCTACACCACCAGCCTCACAGCTGAATACACATTTATGCTTCAAAAACGGAGTTTTTATCACGAAAATGAGAGAGAACCTGCAGCATTTGAACACCGTTTTCACTACATTCTCCTTCCTTTGTGTTTTTCTGTCTCGGTTCTTTATTGGAATTCTTCCTTTGAGTTTTCATACAATTTGCGGGGGCGTAAATGAATACCTATGTACGTACACACATACACACATAGAGGGAGACTCACGTAAGATGTACCCTTCGAAAAGCTACTAAAGCTTTGCAGATATTGAGATCTGTTTTCACGAAAACGACCTTACGCCAGGGACACACAAGACTGTGTTTAATACCAAACTATAGCTTTTAATTCTCTCGTCACACGCGATCCTTACGTAGTAAACATAAAATATTGTAATGTTGCAGCAGAAAGTAGATATTTTCCATCAGAAAAAGTAATATTGTCGGGCCCTGATATAGAAAAAAGAGGCTAAATCTTATTCCTAAGTAAATTACTTCCTCTAGTATATAGCGTTGTCAGAATTGACATTTTATGAGTCTTTGATTCCGAAAACGTCGTTGACGGCAGAACGTGCATGTAATCAACACTAGCGCCCGAACCGTTCAGACGATTTTCTCCAAAACTGTCATTCCCCAATTGATCTCAACGAACTCGTGTCGTTTTCGCGTAATTTTGCATGAATGTAGGTAATTGTGGACAATTTTGTTTTCTAAAAAGTCTAATTTCCTTCAATTTGTTTTCTTCGGATGTAACAAAGGATGAAAATGGAAGGAGTGCTGGTGACATTTTCGGAAAACTATTTACGAAAATGCAAAAAATTAACATTGCAATAGTACAATACTGTTGACAGATTTTTTTAAAATGAATTCTGTTTTTAAACAAAATAGATCTTTAAAGGTCATGCAGAGTTTTTTTAGGTATTCGCGTAAATTTGCTTTAAGTTAATGCAATTCACAAAGAAAAATTCAAAAAAACGGCCCTTAATTTTATCTTTGAATTTTTTATGGAATATGGGAAATGACGCTAAAAAATTGCGCACGTCACATTTTCGGCAAATACTCTGTATTTTCGAAAGTTGCATACACAAAACGAACATTGTATAACTACAATATTATTACATTCCCTAAGGAGTAGAGAAAAAGTTATCTAATGCTGCGCGAAAAACCTACGAACTTTCGCCAGAAAAACTCTTGATCTCATGTTCGTTAAAAACCCTAATTTTTGGAAAATTGTAAAAGTTCAAAATATTTTCGGAGTTTTCTTACAACTAAAATATTAAAGATAGATCTTTTTTTCTTAATGATATTTGTCCCTTAAAGATAGATTTTGAATTGTCATATAAAAGTTTTCGAAAATATGAGTACTTATCGCGTAATGTTGCGTGAAAATACGTAGAAGTAAGTACATGCTGTTATAGCAATACTAGTTTCCTTAATGAATTCCGATCTTTAAGACTAATCTTGAGATAATGCAAATTAAAATTTATGAATATTTGAAAATTGCAAATGCAAATGTTCACTTTTTTAGCCGTCAGCAAGGTTGAGTTTAGTGAGGCTGATGACGTGGGGGTAACGTTACTGGCGTGTGAACTTAAGTACCCAAAATGAATCACAGTGTGGAGACATTTTTGCTGATTGGAAACATTTTTGACGGTTCATGTGATATAATACTGCGTAGTCGTTGCAAATAGTGCGATAAAGTATCCGCTGTTGTAGATGCACTACTTTTTATACTAATTGGTTATTAAATAATTGAATCTCATTATAGTGCGGACAATTTTACTGCATGGTTGTTTCAGCACAAGTGTTACAAACTTGCAGGGCAGGTTAGGGGTTGAAGATGATCATTTTGACAAGTAATATAAGATGGTAAATTTCATGTAACGACGTTACACGTGTGTCACTTGCCCCTGATTTGTAGGAAACTTACCAAGCACTGGTGATTGACGGGTCACGTTATGACGCAAAAAGATTTCGTTCAAGTTCTTTACCAATCGGGGGAAAATACCAGGTGTAACGTAGTTATAAAATATTTCCATCATATGCTCACTGGAACGAAGGAATCATCGTAGATTCTCTTACATGCAGTAGAAGTTTCCATATTTTACTCGGAGACACACTTTTTAGTATATCTATTGATTCAAGTAAAACAATTGTCATACTACTGCGACAAATACAATGTAATTATTTTTAGTGTAGTAACAAATCAAATCTGTTTATCGACGTTGTTTCACGATGGAATTTTCGTTAAAATTGGTTAATTCTTTCGATTGTAGTCACATTCTAAGAGAAGTTAGGGTTCTTTCATTCTTACGCTAATCATGTTAAAAAATGAGAAAAAAAGTAGTCTATGTATTTTTATCTCATTGACCATATTTTTGGATTTCACGTACGATTCATTATCGGATCTATTTTCAATTTTAAATGTTGAACTATATTTTTTAAGATGTCAGTTTTGCGGCTTTTCTTAAATTGATATTCAAATGGTGACCAAGTTCGAATTCTAAGTACACCGAAAGGGTCGATCCCAAATTCCCGTTTGATTCATCCCCTTCCTAGTGACTTACTGTGGTAGTACTCAAATGTACTCTGAACCAAACCTGACAGTACCGCCATCTGAGAGAGAAAGAGACTGAGCCATCTGAGAGAAATGAAATGATACAGAATCTTAAAGAAAATTGTACTACACAGTAAATTTGATTACAATATTTAAAAACTGAAAATATTAATTCCTTTCATGATAATCACAAAAGCACGATAAAATATATTTTCAAGCAAGTGAGGCATGATTTGTAATTTTTGAAAATTCCTAAGAGTTCGATGAAAATGAGACCTGCGAGATTTTTTAGGCGTCCTTTGCTCTATCCAAGGGAGGAAAATGGGATATAAACAATTATAACAGTTTTTTGAGAAATTATGTGTTTAAAAATCGCCTATATTTCAGGCCCAATTTGCGCGAAAACTACGCATATTTTCAAATATTTTAATGACATTATTAAAAGAATAGATTTCATTCGCGAAATAATTTGTCTATTATCAATATTATAGTTGGAAGACGCCGAAAAACTTTTAAACTTTGACAATTTTCGAAAATTTAGAGTTCAATAAAAATGAGACCTGTGCCAGTTATCCTGTGTGTCCTTTATCCGACGAAAAAAATAATTAAAAATTGGGGGAGCCATGTACGATAAATTTTCGAGACTTTAAGACGTCATGTGAAGTACTTCGCAAAATCAAAATACTAGTTTCACATTCGCAGGTCCTCAAGTTCGGACATATCGTTTGGGGAAGTGTTAACCATCGACAGACTATTGCTGCCAACCAATTTTTCGGTTTCAAGGACCCACATATCGAGGATTTTGTCTACACAAAATGTTAGAGGAAGCAATATACTATATACAGGCACAAGGTTGTATCCTCTTTTTCGATATCAGGGCCCCAAAATTTGCGACTTCGGTGGTGTAACGGTTAGCGTTTCGGACTGCTTTACCCAAGTTCGTGGGTTTAACCACGATCTGTGGGTCTTTAAGGGCGAAAAAATCCTCCGCACGCCTTCCATGGTATGGTGAGTAAAGCCGCCGTTTCCATGTTGTAGATTTACTATATATAAAAGCTCATCAAGCCTAAAAGAAGCCTCTGAGCAAAATTCAAATCGCCTGTTTTATCGCTCGAGTGATATCTCCTTTCTCTGCCACACGGTGAAAGGAGTGTAGAGGAACTTGCGCGGTCAGGCAGAAGAGATAGCTTGTGCCTCGACACGAAAAATAAAGCTTAATTAAATTGAAAGGAATAAGCATTTCGAGTTTGGCAGTCGAAAATTGTCAGTTTTGCGCAATAATTAGTGCGCAATAAAAACAACAGAATTTATCGTGGTATACTTTTATCGATATTAAAGTCATAAAGTTGAATTTTATCACCAAATACCTCAACATAGCCTACTCGTGTCTCAGAGCGAAAGTTACTGGCCAAGGAGGTTCGTGTTCCATTCCCGGACAATCTCATGTGAAATTTGTTCCAACAAACCGAGTTTGACTGCTTCACAGGGGCTAGTCCAACCTCTGAAGTGTCCTTAACTCTACCACTGTCCTAATTCCTTCCCAATTCAAAAAATCCAAGGCTTACATCCAACTGATGTGAATATCTTCTTAGGGGTATTAGCAGGGATTGCACGTGACTTGTGTGTTCTACTACTACCACTACCACTACTACTTCTATCTCAACATAACACATTTTCTTAATGCAAATTTTTAACCTCCGAGCAATTCCATTGCTGCAAAAATTAAAGTGTAAAACTGATAATGTCTGAGAGGAATATAAAAATTACATACTTACATGTTTCCATTTTAAAGAGTTCTTCTTTTAGAACGTCTACTTGTTTCCTCAATTCTTTGTACCTGTGACCAGTTCCAGACGGATCATCTAAATTTTCAAATTCTTTTAGTCTTTCATGCAGTCTTTTGTTCTCCATTAATACACTTCCCTTTTCCTCCTGCAGCAATGTTACCTGCACAGAACAAAAAATTGAACTCTATGCTAATTAACATACGAGGATTATTAAACCTCTTACCAAGTTTACCTGCATATCTAATTCATGACAACGTTGAGCCATTTGATCCCGAGCTTCTGTAGCAAGTTCTATTTCTAATTGCAGTTTCTGGACTTGTGGTTCTGGATCAGAATCAATACCTAGACTTGTTCCAATACTAGATTGTACAGATCCATGCGAACTATTCTCAAGTTCTTGAATAGACTGCATGATTACTTGTTGAACTGATTCTTCCATGGACATTATCCTTGTTATGTATTCTGTAATGACATATAGTTTTATTATATAATAAAAATATATAACACTAATAATAATAATAATAATAATAATAAGGAAAACATGTGACAGAAAATATAAAGTACACAAAATTTACAGTAAAACAATCTCAAGAATGGCAACTGAAATTGAATCGTTTATTTCGGAAACCCGTCAATCGACATTTTTATCGAAAATGGAATATGAACAGATTCTGAAAGGCCTTCTATAAATACACCCTTTAACGCAGAAATTACTCAACTATGATTACTCAACTCAATTATTGTATTGTGCAATTCCTAATGAATCCTTGTGATGGAGGAATTTTCGAAACTGTCACTACTTCCTAGCAAGGGGACACTCATTTGTACGCTGTGATCGTGATTTTGGGGGTATTTAACTTCTTGTACGAAGAGGAGAGTTTTCATACCAAATCAGTAGGTTGAGATGATTTGCAAATCAAGTAAAACAGGGAGCTTCACTGTTCACCAAGTAAAAAGCGAGATAATCTATAGTTTTAATACTTCGTGGCCTGGGTTTCACACAAGGATTGTAAACTTAGATGAAACTTCAGGAAAGGGAATTCAAAAATAAGACAAGCTTTCTTTTAAAGTATCCACATACAAAGAATTTTATTACAACAAAGTTGACCAAGGAAAAATACTTGCTAAGCACTTTATCGACGGTTTAACTTTCTTATCGTCCACCAAGAAGAGGAAGAAGAAGAAGAAGAGGAAGAAGAAGAGGAAGAAGAAGAGGAAGAAGAAGAGGAAGAAGAAGAGGAAGAAGAAGAGGAGGAAGAAGAGTAAGAGGAAGAAGAGGAAGAGGAAGAAGAGGAAGAGGAAGAAGAGGAAGAGGAAGAAGAGGAAGAGGAAGAAGAAATAGTGTTCCGGAGCTCCCTACAGAGCTTTCCCATGACCATTTGGCACTTTTGCCATCAACATCAAGAAAATCAATCACCTGAAGAATTTGGCCAAGAACACTACATGGTATGAAGATTTTTACATCCTCCATTGGCCTACAACAGAAGATGAATGTAACGTAGGCAGGGTGTTTGAGGATAATTAATGATTGAACACAAATGAGTGCTTGCGTAGGCTTCCGTGGCCGGAGTTCATGTTGGCTGGGCTATCCGGGACGAGCCGCGTCGATGTCATGGTGGCTAACGTTTCGGCCAGCGTATTGTGGCCTTCTTCAGAGCGTACTGCTGACGTTCAGCCGAAGGCCATAATACGCTGGCCGAAACGTTAGCCACCATGACATGGACGCGGCTCGTCCCGGATAGCCCAGCCAACACAAATGAGTGCGCCTATGTAGTTGTGGTTTTGTTTTTAGTTATAAATATACGGTAGTTATTGATGCTCTGCTGTTGATAGTGATCTTAAGCTCAATAGAATAGCATTTAAGCATACAATTTTTGCTTCTCTTCCGTTTTTCTCATCTCTTTATTTTTTCTTTGATATTTAATACATTTTGGTATATAGTGTGTTTAAATGTTTTTTAGTAGATATAGATTGTAGATTAAAAGGCCATAATTTTTCCACAGAAAGGGTATTTATAAAAAAAGTTATTGTACTGGATAAACCAGTCAAATACAATTTTTTGGTAATTTTTTATGACTAAAATATAATTTTAAGCATTATTTGTTTCTAGGGTATGTTGAGAAATATTGTAATTTTTTTCTAGGCACAAATCTACAATAATATTAAGAGTAGAAAGTTTTATTTTTGTTTTCCAAAAGTTTGAAAAAGTATACTTGGCGGGTTTCGGAAATAAACGATTCAATCATAGATTTACAAAGCACTTGTATTAATTATTAGTCAATTAATTAACACTAGAACAGCCGAGCGGTCAATTTGACCGCTTTTGTATTTTAAACGAGCTCTTATCACAATGATATCTGTTCAATTGTTATACGAGTTTACGTTCCGTCGGTCCGTGTGTCCGTCGGTCCGTGTGTCCGTGTGTCCGTGTGTCCGTCGGTCCGTGTGTCCGTCGGTCCGTCGGTCCGTGTGTCCGTC